TGCCATAAGGTAATAAAACGGTACATTTGGCAGGTCATTTTGCAACATCAAAGACCTGAATTGATCATGTTTTCCGAGCTCGGGACCTTAATATATGTAATGCATTTGGCTTTGGACTGATGTACACGGAGGTCGATGTTCTATGACTCTTTGCATTTTACAGGAGGTCAGCGGTGTTAACTGTCCTTCAGGGAGGATCAGGCTGCCGGGCGTGAAGGGAATACAGCAGGGCCAATAAGCCACTTGATACATGGCTGACTCAAAAAACAAATGCTGCTGCCCAAGGACACAAAAATGGCTACCCAAGGTCACTGCATCAAGGATGAGACGTAGTACATTGTAGTCTGATTATGAATAAACACATTGACTGGTTATAAATGGAGACTGTTTTAAATGCAACATCAGTTAATGAATTTCACATATATGGAAATGGTAACATACTAATACACACACAATTTTTTATGTACTGGGTACATGTCCATTATCAAAGCAAGACAAACAAATTCTGACAAATAACACTTGCTTGTCAACCTTTATTAGGCAAAAGCATGGACAGTTATCAATACACACATAGAATAAAACTGAAGCCATGTTTCCAGACTCCTGATGTAAAGCATATAGCAGGTTAGACAATATACGACTAAGATTACAGAACAACACTACTGTTAACACAATGGCTACACTACATTTTGTACGTAATACTACAGAGTGCACTGACTTCATTTCAAAATTCATCCTATGGAGCTGTTTTCATCTCTCTACTGGGCTCACAAACCTGTGCATACTTTAGGATCCTCCAAATTTCTTCAAGTGCATTTTCACTTCATACATACATGTATATTGTACACCATTGACAAGCTGTCTGCTGGATAAAACCACTCCTAAAATTAAAAATGTCCAAGGTAAACAAAAGTTTGTGATCCTTTCAGTTTAAGACCTGTCTCTCCGTCTTCTGTCATCTTTGTCCCTGTGCCTGGACCTATTTCTGTCACTCTTGCCCCTCTCATGCTCATCCTCACTATCAGTATCATGACGTCTTCTCTTACTCTTGTCATCTTCTTGGGACTTTGTCCTGTAGTCTCCTTGTCCCCTTGTTGAGTCCCTGTCCTTCTTGCCCTCTCTGCGGTCCATTTCTTCCCTTGCTCTTCTGTGACTGTCCGAATGGTGTGCCCTCCTTGATTCAGTGTTATCATAATGCTTCCTTTTTACCCCATCTTCTCTTCCTTGGTCCCTTCTCTTATCTGCATGTCTGCTTGAGTGTTGATCTTCCTCATCTGTCGAGCTGTCATGCCTCTGTCTTTTTCCCTCTCCTCTTCCTTTCCACCTGGCCTCTGATTCCGATTCAGATGATGATTCTGAGGATGAGTCATGTCTTTTCTTCTTCTCTTTCTTTTTCTTTCTCTTCTTCTTGGACTTCTTTTTCATCTTCTTCTTCTTCTTTGGGCTTTCCTCTTCCTTGTTTGTTGCAGTCCCGGTATCACTAGGGTCTGTCCGTTTGTGAGTGAACAGCATCATGCCACGCTTCTCAGCATCCCTGTCCTCCAGTGTTGCCATGGACATGGCAGCCCGAGAGGCTCCAAAACCAAGGCCCTTTTCTCTCTCGATGTCTGTTGGGTTCCTCTCTGATTGACCTCTCTTGAAGACTTCAGACATTTCTTCCTTTGTGAGCCCAGCCGAGGGTTTTTTGACTACCTTGTGGCCAAGAGCAGCCATCATGGCTTCCTCTTCAGCCCTTTTAATGGCCTCTAATTCAGATTTACCTGCTGCTCCACTGGCCTTCTTGTCCTTGGCATACCACGTCAGGTCCTTGCCTTTCTGCCAGCGACCGACTGGTGCCATGACAGAATGGCCCAGGTAGTTCTCTCTGTGCTTGTCTGTCTTGACCTCATCCCAAGTGAACTGGTCAGCCCCACCCCGATTCCCTCCTCGTGATGGATGGAACATTGTTTCTGTTACTTTATCCTTCCTTAAACACTAAGTCTTAAGCATTTGCAGCTTACTGATTCTTAACTGCAAGAGGGTCTGACACTACAAACAGACAGCACTTTTCAACACTCTTTAATCTGCAAATTCTTTCTCACTCTCTAAAGATTGACATTCACGAGCACTTTCTGTCAAGTACTTTAAAGAGTTACAAACTGCCTGCTTCTGCTGTGGGTTTGAGGTCTCCGTAACCGAGGTTTTTAAGATCTTCCTTGGCCATGAGGTTATTTTTCATCCTGCACTCCAGATAGTCCTTGGACTCCACTCTGCACTTGGTGTTCTCTCCAAGATTGTCTCTCAGACACCTCATGTACTTCCTCATGAACTCCTTGCACTCTCCACCGTGGTCGAGAGGGAACGACCCCTTCTCAGGAGGAGAGACTTTGAAAGAACGTGCTCCTCCAGGTGATCCAAATGACATTGATGAGTGCAACTTTTACAAGATTCTGGCAGCAAAAAACTATCTAAAAGTATAACTAGTCTCCACACAGTTCAACAGTTTTGCAACGATACTCAATGTGTCTGATCAGTTGCTATGGTCTGTCAGGTCCTCTTCACCCTTAGCAGGTAATGCTTCACTCTCCCGTCAGAGCTGCGACCTGAAACCCACCTGCAGAATAACATGCCCATTTTATTCAATACAGTTTCAATACACTAACAGTACAGCTTGGCATATGATATCATACACATCATTATATTTTGCATGTGTGAGTCACATAGGATCTGTGGGGACAAAAACGTCTTCAGGAATTTAGATCTGAAATGACAACTGCTCTTTATCATCAAACTGCTAGGTGTCTCTTTTGATCATTGCATGGACTTCTGGTACTGGGGCCCACTGGGGTGTAGCAGTGGCAAATGTACATTTCCTATATACATTGATTTTGTATGTTACAGTCTGGAGGGATTTTTATGGTAGATACATGTAGTAGCTGCCTGACCTCTGCACCCTATGGCCAAATAGCAAAAGTCCTATATGATCTGTAGATTTCCCACAATATCAGTCAGACCAACTCAAAATTACGTTTTATTAAATGACATGAAGCATCATAATATATCTTCATGGTCACAGGTCTCACGACAGACCTTTTCCCCACAGATATATCTTTTCCATTTAGCATGAAGATGTTTTTGAGTAGCGAATTGGACAAACTTTGAAAATCATTTTTGTGTACCAGATATTAAGTGTTAAGTGATAATAAAAACACTATTTGTCAGTAATGTTTACATTAATTTTTTTACTACCGAATATATGCAGTTCATACCACCAAGACTTCAGTAACGTGCCAAAACTATAACTACATGTGTATGAACGTTTTGCACGTGTAACCAGATAACAAGACCAAGCCAAGCTCACCACTGACACGCTGACTTTCGCTCCTCTATGATCTTCCCTTCCTCTTTAAACGCCTGCCAGAGAAGCAGCACAGCATGGACCATCGTTGGTGACCAAATCAGTCATACGCCCATATACAGAGGTCTAAGTTTAGATGAAATATATCTTACTTACAACCGAAGAATGAAAACCTCCGCCATTTTGTTACCTGGGATATGCCATCACACTATTCGATATGGAATGTGTAAATAAAAAATAACTTTTTTGATGTAATTTTTAACACACCTCTCTACCAGACGTTAAGAAAACGGGAATATATAGCATTCTATCTGGTTGAAACTAGGAATTTGGTTCTCTTGAAAGAAGGTAAAATAATTTGTTTTAAAACTTTACCCTATGACAAGAAGATTTTGGTATTATCCACTTTCCCAATGAATGACGGGAAGGCTTACGGCGGTTTTCTTCCAAACCTGACAGATAATATCCTTGCCCAAATCTAAACATTAGCAGACGCCACGCACCAGAGACGGTGAAAAAGAAACATTTTTACCTTAAACTGTCCTTGTTCACCATTTTTATCAAATAAGAATTACATTTTGCTCAAATTCACGACATTTGTGACATCAAAACTGTGACACAGGCAAATCGTCTAGCCATCAGAAAAAATAGTTCCAGGACGTAAACACCGCGGAGGCGGAAAGATCAGCTGATTCCTAGCTGTGATGCGGTTTCGTAGGATTTCGCAATTCTGAAGAGAAGGAAATTTTGAGAGACGCATTTTACTTTTCTAAGGTATGTTTCAGGATTTCAACCCTCTATACTAACGTATACACCGCTGCAAGTAAATCTGAACCTTTCAAAATTATCAACCGTCGAATGTTAGGATCTGTGACTAGAAATGTCGTCTGCTAGTAGGGGAAATGTTTTGGTTTGTGACAGCTCGTATTTTCGTCATTAAAGGTTAGGCGACTTATCTTGGCCTTGACCGAAGCAGGGTCTCTAGAGGACAGCGTAGGGTGTTTACAGATTTGTTTTACATCCTTTTACATCCAGACACCGACAGGATCTCAGGCCCTGTCTGTCTTTGTTTTGCCATTGTTGTGTAAGGTCAAGAAAGTGAATGTAAACAGCTGACAGCTCGCTAAGCTGTCCGCTGGCTAGCCACTGGAAAATTTGGTGACGTGACGGCCGATGCGTCCCCTACTGGATTTGGCTTGATTCTCATCGTATCCTGTTACGTATGACTTTCATATGACGCAACGGTAGCTATTGTCAAAGACACGATTTCAAGTACTAACTAGTGTACTCCCAAATAATGTATTCCACTCTTTGGACAAAGAGTCCCAGCCGGTGGTTGAATAATGGGCGTTGCCTATTGTGGGATGGGCACTTTTCCTTTAAATTCAAATGAAAATCTGACCGTGCATTCGTGCACTTATCACATGCTTTAGAACTGCAATTATTTTCCACATCATCGAGAAAATGGACAGTGGATTTCTTCCCAAGAGACCTGTATGTGTTGTACAACAAAGAAGTCCCCTCCTTGATAATGAGTCTTTCTCAATCAGCTCACCAGGTGACTGATTGTGCTTTACCCGAGTTATTTTTACACCTTGGGTCTCAGGGGACATGATGCTATCTAGTCAGGGTAGTTTATATTATTCTATGTGAAAAACACAAATCAGCCTGCTTCCTGTGTGATGTGGATCTGGTTTTGGTGTGTCTAAACAGCTGATTGATGTGTATGTGATTTCTGGACAGAACATGACACGGTCATTGTTAATTAAGTATTTACCAAATTTCGATAAGTTTAATATTCCAATAATGTGTAACACAAGGTCTTTGTACCTTATGTACACTGCGTATTATTATTATTATTGTCATTTAATATAATATTAGACGCAGCTGTAATTGGTTCTGGCCGTTTTGTTGTGTTAGTGTGACTCCTGTGAGTGTGAGTACTAATGTAACGGCTATGACTTGTGTAGTTATGGTAATCTGTAAATGACCATTTGGAGGGTCTTGTTATGAGAAATATGCATATATTAGCGCATTAGATAGGACCTGATTGGTTAGTGAGAGTAACTAATCAGGGGAAAGACTATTGTAGTAAGTTTAGCTTAGAAGAGACAATCGCTCTGTTAGTCAGTTCGTGACCAAGGACTCAGGTAGGTTGTAGCTCCATAGATAAGTAGATTGTAACACTGACAGTTTGTAGTACCTCATCTGTATTGTATACTAGACCATTGGTAACTCTCCGTGTAATTAAGCGCTAAACTCTCTTGTACCCGTTATTCCACATATACATTGTACCTGTATTAGAGTTAACATACGGATTAATAAACACGGCTCAGCAGAAGTAATCAAACTGTTTGGATCTCGTTTATAGTAAGATATACGATATATATAGACGCTAAGATACCAAACTAACACCAAACCTAAAATATTACACTAAGACAATATTCTAACATTGGCAAGCACTGCTCCTAAAGGTTTGACATCTTCCTCAGATACAACAGGTAGCAGATAAGATGAGTTCGGAGAAACTAAACAACATTACCAGCCCTTTCTCACAAGATTCTGGCCTGGCCTACAAGAGAGAGGCACCACATAGGTAACATATTTTCTCTTTTTATATTTTGACATTTCTATATTAAACTTATACGTGAAAACTTGTGTACCATTCTTCTGTGGAAAGTGAATGTACTTGATGATGTGACAATGTTTTCAAACAGCACATGAAGTGAACAATAAGGTGAATTGAATGTGAAAGAAAGGCCTTAAAGTTTACTTCTAGTACTTGAAGCATACATGTATGCTTGAAGACATTATACAGTCAAAGCTACCCAAGAAATCACTCAGGGGACCAATGAAATCTGGATGTGGACAGGTGATCACTATAGACAATGGGAAAATTACCCTTTAAGGGACTACCAAAAGTTGTCACATTGGTCAGGTGGTCCTTATGTAGAGATGGTCATTTTTATAGCTTTGACTGTATTGTAGTACTGTAGTACATGTATATTACATTGCAAAAAAAATAAACATGATGTGCTTTAAATGTCTTGCCTACAATTGTCTCTCTTTTCTTTCTTGCTGACTGCTAGCTGGTATGATTTCACTTCTTCTCTTTCTGGTCGTTGGTATGTCTTCTTAAATTCTCTTCATGTCCTCATTGTACCTGTACATGTCAGTGATTGTCACCATGATTTGTTGTACCTAGTAGCCTAGGGGTAATATTTATGTAGTACTTGGTGCCACTTCAGTCCATGAAGAAAGATCATGAACTATCTATTCTCATGGCAATTTATGAAAAGCCTTTGATGTATGAAATCCTAAATTCAATCGTTAAAAAATGATCATGTTGTCAAGTAACACAAAATCAAATCAAATCAGAACTTAGAATACTTAGATTTAGAAGCAATTAAATAATTGCTCTTGTGTGTGACAGTGTGCCTGTAATGTACAAGAATGCTGGCTCTGCTGTCATCTGCACATCCTGCATTTAAATCTTTTTGTGCCTAATTGTCCATCTTCTCAGTATCAGCTGGAACCCTGAAGGAAACCTGTTCACACAGCAAATGCTAAGCTTAACACCTCAAAAACACATGACACAGTTCTGTTCTGAAGACATTGCCTCTTCATCCATGTAACCATTTCAAATGTATCTTCTGAGAAGTACAAAATGACATTATTTGGAGTTACTTTTGAATGTTCTTAATTTTTTTGTTTGCATGACATGTATCTATTGTGTTTTAGGCTTGAGAAGCTTAAGACCTTGGACAGTGTCGGTATAAAACCCAGGTAATGGGTGAGAGATGTGTGTGCAATCTTCCCAACTCCAGTGTTGTGATGTCCAGAGTCACGCCCCTGTCCCACTAACCTCCTCCTGTGTGCCAGTAATACTGTGTGCCTCTTCTTGCTTATATAGCTTGCTGCCATTGATAACCCATGGTTTCAAGATACTGCTACTGTTTGTAGATTTTTATACACTTACATGTATGTCTTGGACATATCTTTTGCAGCCATAATAAATAGATAGATGTTCTGGTCATAATGCAGGACATATTACTGATTGATTGTTTTGATTTCATGCTGTGTTCTTCTAAATGATTTTGAACATTTTTTTCACAATATCATATGTATATGCTTTGCATGTACGAGTGATTACATACTTTTCTGCCAACTGAGTAATGATGTGTGCTGTGCTCTTCATTAGCAGCTAAACCCATTAACCATGCAGCAATCAAACTTAGTTTTGCCCTCTTCAGTTAAATCAATGCATTGATTATGCAGCAGCACTCAAGCTGACATGTCCATGTATGTTGCCATCACAATGAGATGCTAAATTAAGTCTTTTATATAATGTACGAAAACTATGAAATACAGTATTGATCAAAACAATGATAATGAAAATTACCATGGAAATAATAACATGCCCAAGGGCAATAATGCAACCTGTTACATTTACTAGCAACATTTCCTAACAGTGATATCTGAGTTCTTGAGTCATCAAAACAATAGTAGTTGTCACATGACATACCTTTTTTTTCATGACACTTTTTTTTACAGAAAAACATCTCCTTATACATATAACTATTATACCAACCTTTTTGATAAATTTTTTTGTTCTTGAATATGCAATCATGTTTGCAAAGATGCCACCAGGAGTTGTTAAGAGTATATTACAGTTTAGTCAATGGATGTGTATGGAAAGTGTCTTGCCTATCAAGCTCCAAGCCTCGAGAAGAACATGAAAAAAATTGTATCGCTGTTGTATGAAATCTATGATGTAGAACAACATGTAGAGTACTAATACTAATAGTATATATACAATTGCTAAATCCACAATTCATAAATATATACATATAGTGATGAATGTTATATATTTTCAAGGTTGCCAATGATTATGAGTAGTATTTGTGAACACAGAAAATATTTTCCTATCAGGAGTAGATCAGTGTTTGACAGAAAAGCTATAATTCATAAATGATATAGTTAGTTGCTATTTGGAACATATACATTACATGTATGCAAGGTAAGAATGTTAAAAAGGATTTTACATCGAGCGTCACATTCATAGAAAAACCTATAAGCATAGGAAGTCACACTCACTCACTATCCAGGATGTGATTATAGGAAGTGCCTGACTACTTCTAATTTCCTGATCCCCCCTATACTTTTGTGTGATTTGCTGGAATAACCAATGAAGGTCTTTGTAAAAAAAGTTATCAGTCGTAAATAAGCTGTTTTGAACTTTGTGTGTGTTTGTCTGGTGTAGGGTATTTGTGAACAGAAGCCTCAGACTGGACAAGATCAAGTTTTATGGCTTTGACATGGACTACACCTTGGCAGGTATGAACATTGTCTGCTACTTCTTTTGTCAGCAGTTTAAAAGTATCAATGCTTTAAATAAATTAACAGGTTGAAATGTACCTATATTTCCTTTAACAACTAAATCTATACCTAACGACGATTGATATTGGAGAATTTGTATAGAAGTATCATTGAGTTCACAAACTACAGTAACTGAAGTTATTGATTTGTGACAAACAATGCTACTGACTGTATGTTATGTAGTGAGTAAGACAGAATACTATGAAAGCTACAGACCCTAACGTCCAGTGTGTTTTTTGTGTTCACCAAAGTGTACAAGTCACCTGAGTACGAGTGCCTGGCCTTTGACCAAGTGGTGAAGAGAATGGTGGATATAGGCTACCCAGAGGTGAGCCTTACAACACATTTCCTATGCATCCTTTTCTTGTTCAGTCCATAGGAATACATTATTGAAGCCAGCATGTTCTTGTAACTTTATGATAAAAGTAATGAATAATGGTCACATTACTATGGCATTTTTATGGTATACAAGAATAATAATGACACTGGATCAATAGTATAAGACATGCTGTAGTCTTCGACAACATTTCAAGGAAATAAAGTTTCATAGGAAACAGAGAAGTTAGTTCATAATGACATAAAAATCACATGGTCTTTTTCTACAGGAGCTGTTGAAGTTTGAGTATGACCCCAGCTTTCCTGTCCGAGGCTTGTGGTTTGACAGGACGTATGGAAACCTCCTCAAGGCAAGTATAGTATCATCTGAGCCAGTCAGGAAAATCAATAGTGTAGGATTGATGTGGTATAAACATCATTCATTGGTCAAAGGCCAACATATGGTGTATCTGGACTGTCTTGTTATTCTGAAGCCTTTTCTTTGGTCACAAAATGCCAACAGGTAGAGCTATTCTTCAATAGTAGGTCATAGAAAAACTCTAGGAATGAGATGTGATTTGGATCAGGGCTAGAGATATGTCACAGAGCTAGCTGTACTTGCATGTAGAGTTTCCTCTCCAAGTAGGATGTGTAGTGTTGCAAGAACATAACCTAACATGTCAGACTCACAGAATAACCTGATCATATTACTGTTTCCTTAGGTGGATCCATATGGCAACATTCTGGTCTGTGTTCATGGATTCCATTTCATGTCCGCGTGAGTACAGATGGCATTTTTCATATCATTGATGTGATCCTCCTTTCCATTCCCCTTGTGAAAAACCTTTGTCAATTAAGCTACACTAGGTTAGTGTTTACTAAGTATTCTTCTGCATCTGTCCATTACCCATATATCTCTTTTGTATCTTAACTTGAAGAATTCTTCAAATTATGGTACTCATGACATTGCATCTTAGTGATGTACACTTCCAGTAGCCTTCGGGTATGGATTTGCAATAAAGTTGCAAACAACAATCTGTTTTCTCTTGTCCTGCCACAGGGCTGAGATCAGTGAGCTGTATCCCAACAAGTTCATCCAGCCCCAGCCCAACGATGACAGGATCTATGTACTGAACACCTTGTTCAACCTGCCGGAGACCTACCTCCTGGCCTGTCTGATAGACTACTTGACCAATGCTCCTGGATCTATCATGTAAGTACAGCATGGTATTTTCACATAGCCTGACTACATCATACTTCTGCTGGTGTCTGTTACCATAGTGTTGGAGGCTGTAATAACTTGTTTCCATAGTGACAGAGAATCTTGAGCTCCTATTGGTAGTTCTGAAATTGGGAATGGTCTACTGGGTTAAAGGTGTATCACCACAAACTCTCAGGGCAGGGGCAGCAATAGATTGTGTAACACAGACCAGCATTGCACATATTCTCAGCCAGTCAACAGACTTGTTCTACCCTGTTGGAACAAACAGGGCATTGCTGCCATATTTAGCAAGTAGTCTGAGAATCCACTGGGTAAAAGATGTGTAGTTTAATTCTGTTGTGTCCCTTACGTCATCCAGGGAGAAGACAGGAGTGCGGATCGGGGACGTGTTCATGTCATACATGGGTATACACAATGATGTCAGAGCAGCTGTGGACTGGGTACATATTAAGGTGAGAAACAGTCAAGGGACACAGACATAAGGCCAAGGAGATCAATCAGCAACAGGAAACATGTATATCCTGGTGAAATAGACAACTAAACAAAACAACTAGTTTTTCAGTACCTTGGATAGGTCAGATGTATGATTCAGTTCTTAATCTTCTCCCTGCTGCCTAACCCCAGAGCCAATGCAAATTTGGTCCAAAATGACAACCCTAGCAGGCTGAAGGATACGATGATATATTCTATAAAATTAATGTATTTAACACATTGGATATTTGTGAGTTTTGTGGTACATGGTATAAGCTATTAATATTATGACAATATATATCATGACAATTTGATACCTTCCATCACTTTTTTTTCTATTGATACAGTAAGCTTTTCGTGTGTGTTTCCCCCAGGGTTCCATGAAGCAGGAGACAGTTGACAACATGGACAAGTATGTTGTGAAGGAACCCAAGATACCCATGCTGCTCCACAGGTCAGGGGTCAACTCTGCCACCTTATATTCTAATTATGCAGTCTCTTTCAATATACAGTCATCTGTGCAACTGAACTCTTTCTTCAATCAGTATCTGTATATGAATATTAGACACTTTGTCAGGATTAGATTTTCTATTTGTGGCATAAATATTATGTGGGGAAATGTGTACATTGTTTTCCCTTGTTGCAGAATGCGTGAAGCTGGTACCAAAGTGTTCCTGGTGACAAACAGTGACTACTGGTACACAGAGGTTAGTACCAGATGATGTTCAGTCTCACATCATTCCTCCCAGAAATTCTCTGGAATTGGTTCTTGCTACATTTCTCTGTCAGTATTTGGTAACAAAAGCTGATCAATCTTTAAGACTGTATATCATGTGGGACTCCCACATTGGGAGTGAGACATTCAAACTGTAAATTTTATTATTTCCATGGGGCTTGATTTTTAATGGTAGACAGGGAAAGGAGGCTTTTGCGGAGTTTTAAACTCGTGGTTGCAATTGAAACCATATTGTTGTACAGATTCGAGAAGTATTAGATACATTTAAAATACTTATTTGCATTGTCATGAATTTGCGGTAGAAATGGCACTACGTAAACCGCGAAATTAAAACTACCGCAAACATTTCAAGATTTACCGTACTTGAGAGTCAGAATGTTGTACTTAAACAGCATGTGCGCCCTACAAGGCCTAACTCCCATTATCCATACAGGACTGTGCTGGTGCTGGTGAACCAGTCACTGCTGACTAGCACTTACTACCTCCACTTGTTGCTATGGGTGTTGTATGACAACCAGGCTATGGGTAAACAATACGGTGCCGGGACTGTACCCTAGTCATTATTGTTTCTTATTGAAGAACTTACTGCATACCTACAGTGGAGAAAAAGATGTTCTGTTTTGTGTTAAGGAGTCGACTGCCATGTCATGTCCATCTTTTGTTAAAACTTGTTGGAAAACTGCAAATGCAAAGTATGAGATTTGAAGAAAAACAACTGATAAGAATATGCGATCTTCTAAAAAGCATACAGGAAAGGAATACAGAAAAAAAAGAGGACAGAAAAAAAGACATAAGTTATAATCATCTCAAACTGTCAGGATCACGCAAAATTCTACAATTCATTTCTTTGTTTAAGGAAAAAAATCAATCACGAGATGTATGCAAATTTTTTATTAGTTCAGCATGGCAGGGACTCTCTTAAAGTTTGTTTTTGTTTGTGTTGTTGTCTTTAATGATTTATTTCTGAAACTGGCTTCAAGAACACTTAGTATGACCTTTCTTTTTTACAGAAAGTCATGACGTACCTGTTTGACTTCTCACATGGCCCAACGGTAAGAGAAATTGTCTCATACTCTTGTGTCACACTTGACCAACCTGCTTCCTAATACACGTGCTTTCTCTCATCAGTCCTTGTCCTGCATGGCTCTTTTTATAAGAACTGTTTGGATGAAATACAATATCTACATGTATGCCGCATGTTCCAGACTGTGCAATGCTAGTATATGTTGAAAGGTATATGTCTCTTTGTTGGAGAGATTCCTCACCTGTACATGGTCTTGCAGTATAACATTGTTACATTACAGATAGGAATATTTGTACCCACCAAACCTGAGGTGTTTGTTGTTACAAGTACTATCAATGTACTCAGCATGTGTCTGTCATTGCCTTTCAGTCAGTTATACTAACATGTGAATGATTGCATGAAGCAAGTCCTGGGGAAAGTGTAGCTGTAGCAGAGGATATAACCCATAACCACCTCATATATATTTGTAAGCAGTGGAAGAAGTTCCAGCACTGATGTCTGAAGACTCATCAAAGAAGATATTGATAACCACTGGTCCATCTTCTATAGGCTTGTGATCATTCTGACTCTCAATGATTCTTGCACACTTTTCCAGGATTCTAATGGATACATTCCAAATAATGGGCCCACCATCCAGCCAACAGGAAAGATGAAGGTTTGATGCTGCCCTGTTATGGTTCCCCCTTAAAATAACCTGGTTATGCAAAATTTTAATTTGTATTCCCATCTTTTCATCTGGATGCAAAGCACTTAACAGTTCAGTTCAGTTCAATAGATATTGTACTAATGCTATATCCTAATGTTTCAATACAACTTTATATAGCAACTACACAAATGTCATGTAGATGATGCATTATGCCTCCCATTTTGACAGTTATCCATGCTTGTTTGTTCATATTATTAAGTATCTTTTCCAGCCTTGCTTCTATCTATAGTTTGCATCAAATACAATTTTCTAAAGACGTTCCTAAGAGATGAGAAGTACTGTAAATGCATTTTTGTTCGTCAGGGATTTAACTTCGCGGTTTTCGCGAAGAGCCTTGCTTCGTGAAGTCATGTCCCTCGCGAACTGTCCACCGTATCGCTACACTCCCGTCTTCCAGGTTTCCATGTAACGTTACGTTACTACTACCCATAGAGCCAAGTATAACTATCCGTATTGTCTCAGCAGAAATAGACACAAATAAAAGTAGACCTGTCCAGTTCTTCAAGAAATAGAATATTTCTGCGCTATTGTTGAGTATCAGAATTATTTATACTGTTAAAAATTATTTTATGAGACACCGAATCCAGTGTCAGGCCATGTCAACTGCGTACAAGAAATCTTAGCGTGCACTTCGCGGGACCGCTTGCGACAGGAATACGGCTAAAATGCAGGCACATCCACAAATATTTTGATCAAAAACATAATTGCTGGGATCTGAAATGTTACTGGGTTCTCCTTAGCGGGAGTTGTATTTTGTTTTGGTTGGTAAAACGGAGGGTAAAATTGCTAAAAATTTAGCGTGGGTACGACGAACCCACGCCGAGGCACGCCGAGGTGTGTATACTTCCGGTTTGCAAAATCACGCCGAAAACACCAAAAATCCCCATAGAAATATACATTTTCCGGAAAGATTCTTGGAACTTATGCATTCCTTCACTAGAAGATCGATGTGTAGTTGTGGAAAAAGCGTTTTAGCGCTTATATTAAAACAAAGAAAATTTGTTTACATCGCGTCAGCCCGCTTGTATGTTACCGCTGCGAGCTGCTCGACTGACGCACAACCAATCAGAGACGCGAAATGCGGACACCTGACGCGAGATTTGCATACCGTCAAAATTTATGCAGCTAGCTGAGAAAGACAGGAGCGGGGCATGAAACTAATTTTTGTCGGGAAACAAGATTTTCCTGCTTTTGAAAATGTATTTTACGAGTTCATCTATGAATATCAGAGTAAAAATCTAACCGTTCGATGCCTGGTCCTTCGGTACGATACAGATCCCATGTGATTTTCAGCACGAGCCATCAGTTCGGTATGAATTTTTAACTGCAACCAAATCACTGTTACTCTGTACTAAGTAGCGTTTTGTTAAAAGATTCCATAGCTGGCGATTTTGTGTGACAAAAGAAAAATATTGGGACTTTATTATTATCAAATATGGGGGATTTCCGGGGCCAGGTAAACCCATGAAAGGGGGGGGGGGCGGAAGTCGGCATTCCCTTTTGTACACAATGTATTTGGTTCTGCTGTATAGCGAACTAAAATCCCTCGCGAACTCTCTATTTGCTCCGCTGCGCGAAATTTAGTCCTCGCGAACATAAATGCATTTACAGTAAGCTACTAAAGCATAATATCCCTGTGCTGCAGCTGGAGTTGGAAAACACTAACAGCTTTTTATGAAATTTGAACCACCTGTTAGCATTTATGAATTATTTCTTTCAGAAAGACTGTAGAAAAGTAACATGGAAAACTGATCTTGTGACTAACTGTCAGGTAAAATGCCTCACCTATCCAGTGGCAAGAGATGAACATGCTTTTAACAATTGCATCTCTGTTTGAAACTGTTTCGCAGATTTTGGTGTTACCGGTAACCTTTCATATTCAAGGACCAAACACAATGGCTCCATTATTACATGATGTTGGATTCTAATCTTTTAAAAACATCCAAGGGTATAGTTGAATGTCAACTGCCTGGGCCTTTGGATTGTTTTGAATATTTCTGTCTATTAGAGAAAGGTGTCACCTGGGACCAGACTGTTCCCTAATTTTGTTGACTGTTTCTTGTTTTGAATTGTTTGGGAGCATCTGTTTGTAATGTGCTGACCAAATATTGTACTGCACGGCCGCCTTCACCATAGCTGCTGGCTGAGTAAGGGACAAACTTGGAAGGATTATGTGGATTTGGTTGTCTGAAAATGTTTGTTTCAGGTCACAATTCTTTTTTCTTCTGTCCAACTTGTCTTTGCAAATTATAGTAGTTTTCACTCCTGGCACAATTTTCCCACCCGTGTACAATCCTTCTTCGTTCATCCACAATACTACATGCTGGACACAAGAGACAGAAATGGTGTAGAAATATTTTAAACTTTGCACTTAATAATGTATGCTGTTCTTTTGACTAGAATGATGCCCCCTGGAGGCCATGGAAGAGCTACTTTGATGCTATCATTGTGGATGCCAGGAAGCCACTGTTCTTTGGGGAGGGCACACCTCTCAGGAAGGTGGACTGCGTAAGTCTCATGCCACAAAATTAGATACAGCCTCACCATTTTAGGTTGAAACAACCTCTTTTGTGCATACTGATAATCATCATATCAGCTGGTAAGCATCATTGATGAAGTCTTAATTTCCTAATTGGT